CATAGCGTCTGGATAGTTACTAGTACCGCCTCGTTTCAATTTTAAATAACTCCAAAAATACTTAGGATTTGATTTAATTTTAGTTTCCAACATCGCGGTATATGAGTTATAGCATGACACGGCCATTGAATCGCAACGTTTTTTAAGGATATGTAGTGAAACCTCGTCCATAGGATTTTTATATTTTTTAAATTTTTATCTAAGCTTGTTTTTTTCACTGAGCCGCCTAATTAGCTGGCTAGAAAACCAGTATGGATATTTCAGATTAGGTTTCTTAGCAAAAGGAACGAATTTTTTAATTAGAGAATGAAGTACTTCATAAAAAATACCAACCATTTCATCAACAGAAGAAAAGCTAGAGTTTAACTTTACCGACCAATCTATTTCGTTTAGAGCCTCTCCTATAGCCTTGTAGTCTGCTTTGAAATAAGACAGTTTATTTATAGAATTAGCATAAGGCAAACTAAATGTTTTTGGAAACGATAGATTAATTTGTATGACAGGGTGATGTGGATCTACCCTTGAAATAATGTCAGTAGCTGGAACTACACCGACAGACTGAGAGTTAGATAGCACGAGATCAAGTATTCTATCTTTAGGATTCTGTACATAATTAAATTGCATTAGATCGTTTAACAACAAGAAATTCATGAGGGTTTTTTCACTAATACTACTGATTGTCAAAGGCCTCAAGGACGACCCACCATCCCTCTCAGAAACCCACTTGATTGTCTTAATATTGAAATCGCCAAAGATTAAGTGAGTACAATGCTCCTTATTCAACACATTATTTGCATTATCCACAAAACACTCCAAGACAATTTGCTTAAGTGGAGATGGCATATACACTGCACACAGGCAGACATCTTCATTACGGTCATTTACACATAGCGTTACCTTGATCCATAGATCATCGCAAGAACTTTCATAACAAGACATTCGATAAGAGGGGTACTTTCTGGATACAGCTATCAAAACACCACCACCTTCTGTTTCCTATTTAAGATATTAAAGTTTCTATCACGCCGATATACTACATATTTCCTTTCAAAGATCTCTGAATCATACACGCTATTGTTTAGCCATGTCTCAGTAATAACATACACATCATAGTCATAACAAGCAATTCTACAAGAAACACCCTTTAACTTCGTTTTTAAACCTCTTGCATTTTGGTAGTATATCTTAAGTTTATCGAATTTTAAATTTACAACTGGCTAATTTGTGGACAAAAATTATAGTGAATTTATTCTAATTTCATTAAACTGTCAAAATCTTTGATGTACTTGTAGTCCGAGCCTTCAGATTTCCTCATGAATATCTTGCCATTTCGAACCCAAACGAATTTGTAATTCTTATCTTTTGCTTTTTTCCTAGCTTCGGCATGTAGCAATTTATTGGTCGGCGATAGGTGTTCGACTATGAAGATACTTTCCTTCTTCCCATCGATTCCAAGCAGATGGCTGTTTAGTTTATCATCGGGATTGTTTTTGTTGTACTTTATAGAAGCAGCTAAGAAGGTGTCACGAACTCTAGGACTGTTGAACTGGACAACGATGGATTTTGGACGTGAACTAGTGGGGTCTCGTTTTGCAACCCTTGTCACATGATGTATATTGTTCTCAGTTAATACGCAAGATACAACTCTACTCAAATTTACGACAGTGGAAACCAAGTTCTCGCCCTTATGTTCCGGCATGCAATGGATTTCGATGTTACTGGATCTGGCTTGTTGCTCCATAATATTAATTCTTGTGTTCAGTTCATTGACAGTAGATTTCAGATGTTCGTTGTCCCTCTGTAGTTGTGTTACAGTTGCGAATTTATTTGAAATTTCAGTGCGTATCTCTTCATACTGAGCATTCATGAACTTCATAGATTCATTCACTTGAGCTATTTCATCCTTTATTGATTTCAGCCCATTGTTTACAAAGTTAGTCATGGTGTCATTCAGATGTTTAATAAGGTCTTTGATTTCAACCTTGACAATGTCACGTACCTCAAATTTAATGATTATTTGTTAAACTACGACGGCCTTACTGGCGTAGGTTGAAATTTGTATTCTGCATTCGAGTAAAATCTAAATGTTCGCGCCGATACTAAGGTAGACGGCGCTTAGGTTTAAGTTCACCTACCCACATTTCCTTTTAACATTTTATATCGCTATCCTTTTTACTCCGCTGCAACTGGACTACTGTTCGTAGTTGGAACAGTCTACACCTAACCGTCCTGTGTAACGTGCGTCCACCTTGGACCACCCATCGGTTCTCTCTGTAGATTCACCGCCATTGTGAAACCTGCGTAGTTTCGCCTATTTCTGCCTATTTTTGCCGTGTGTGAAATGACGCTTGTGTTTTGTACCCTTTGCGTGTGTTAATGTACTGTGCTGCTAAACGGTGATAAAGCAAGTGATCGTAGTCATTGGTAGTCTCCCCTGACCGCCACTGCATAAACGGAATCGCCACGCGTTCCACAGCATTTATCGGAGACATTTAATTTAGACGCCTGTTGGAGTAGGGGAAGAGCGGCAGCGTACGACCACAAAACCCACCTTTAAGGTCAGTGCATACATAGATCACTTGTTCAGCACTCCCTGTCCTACTTACCTGTCGATCCGTCCCTCTGCAGACATTCTTTCTCTATACAGTCCACACTTCTATACGTCTCTTCATAAAACGATCCACCCAACCCGCTAGTATTCGTCGCGTCCGGTCATATAGCTTGACTGCCGCGCTGGTATACTATAAGTTAAATATCTAACTGACTTAAAAACTTGCTTACAATCTTATTCACTAATGACACGACCAGGACGTCATACCAACATGAATTTTACGGCTTACATGGTAAAGATTGATTTGTTTAACACTTTTATCCACGTTTATCCGCTCACGCGATACATGTAGCCGTAGACGCATACCGCACCTAGAGGTGCCGGTGATGATTTTATACCGATTTATCGGATATTGAAGTTATAACAGGTAAAAGAACTAATATTAATGGCTATTTCGGTAACTACTCTAGCAAACCATAAAGTTTTTAATGCCTGTTTTTAATCAAAAATGCGTCACGACAATCGTGTGTGTTATTGTTTGGGCTGGTGATTTCGGTGTTTATTTATTGAAAACATACCGTAAGTAGCGTTTTTTAAGTTTACCCTGAATGTTTATAAACTATATAGCCGCCATTTTGCGGTAGGAGGAGCGCATCGCGTGAGCGGATAAGTGCACAAAACCAAAAGGTCAACAAAGTCGGCTTGGGGGGTCAGGCATCGTGTGTCAATGCATGTACATAAAACTATTGCCCCCTATCACTTTGCCACAAAAGTCAAGTGGAACGCTTAGGAAAAAAAAAAGAGTACACGAGGTACCTCAGGAGATTCCTTCCACATGCCGCCTATAGTATACTAAGCCACTGCCTCGCCAGTCCTGATACTACACAGACGGGAGAGAATTTTCTACAGGAAGCTGATTACAAGTGAAGAACTACTCTGTATCCGGAAAGAAGTGGGAGTTAGGTGGTGTGGCCCGCCGCCATAATTATATTATAAGATCAGAACTGACAGCGAATTCATGTGGATTCGTCATCTAGACCAGTTACTCCCTACTCTACCGATTCATGGAAATCTCATTGGAGGCGTGTCACATACTTAATTTTGTCATTAATTACCGTTTGTTTACATTGTTCTCTGCCATTGAAAATATACTACTTTCGATGTGAGAAAATATATTTTTTTAATTATATAACAATGATCGTGTGCCGACTTACTTGCTCCATCCCATCTCCAGCGCACCAGCAAGAGGGCTGGCTCCGCAGTAGAACTGGCGGAAAGAATAAAAAGTAATAAGTACAAGGACCTCGGCTCCGACTACCTATTTACAGCCTTTGGAGTCCAATTCCTAGGCCCGTGGGGTCCCGGTGCTCTTCATCTGTACAAAGTTTTATCCAAAAATTTAATGACTGTCTGGGAAACCTAAGACCTTGCCCAACGCATTAGCATAGCCATACAAAGGGGGAGCGCTGCCAGCATCTTGGGCACCTTGCCGCTGGAACCCAATTATATTCTTATAATGATTGTTTAAATCTCAAATAAATCTACATAATGGATGCTCTATCCACGATTGTATCGTAGATACCTGTAGCTTTTTAATAAATATATTGTATTATGGTATGCATTTAATACAACGTAATTGAAAATCACGTTTGTCTTGCAGTAATCCTACTGGATTACGGATTTGTAGTATCTTTTAACCTTCATAAATATTTCATATTAATAAGTATCCGTAAAAACCCGGATCGAACATCATAAACAGAAGCTGTGAGCCCAGCCTTGGAGACGCGTGAAACGAATTATCGGTCACTTCTTCTGAAGGTTATGTTTGTTTTGCTTTTCAACCAAATTTTCTCAGGTAATGGGTTAATAGACTGAACTGACGTCTCGTTGCGACGGAAATATTGCTTTTAGCTTCGTAGAAATATGACAAATAATAATAATACTTAAAAATTACATACGTGACAATGTAAATTTAAAATTACTTGCTAATTGTAAGTTTCAATAATATTTTTTGACGTATCGATTGCTACAACTCAAAATTGCGAACTCACAGACGTGAATAAAAGCAAATGACTGAAAAAGTAATAGTTAGACATGTGACCATTCTGCCTCACAAAACAACACCCTTCTCGAAGATGTTTATTTACAGTGCATACGATAATTCTCATTAAACGCACATACCTAGTACTTAACCATCGAAGTCGCCGTAGTGAACAGTATGAAATAAATAATAAGATAACATAGCACAACAAGCCAATGTTGCCTTGCTTCAAATTAGTACCTTTATAAAATCCAAGAATAAAAAATGCCAGATGCAGTGACCGAAATACCCATGTCAACACCGATTTAGCAATTCATTCTTAAATTGGTTTAGCCGGGGATTGAACCCAGGAGTGTTCACACACCACCCGTATTATGTATATTCCTTACATAAAATTTGTTTTACCAGATTCGGCACGGGTTTCTGCTTTACGGTGGTGTACGCAGCACTGCTGACGAAGACGAACCGGATCTCCCGCATCTTCAACGCCAGCAAACACTCCGCCAAGCGACCGATACTCATATCACCGAGTTCACAGTTGTGCATATGCGCTGGACTTGTGTCTATACAAGTGAGTTCTGATATTGTAACGGGTTTAAAAGGATGTAAGAATATGATAGACACCCATCGTAGACAATTTATAGCAGGATAACTGCATCTTTTATTATAGCCAATATATTTTGGTCGCTTTGTCAGCTATCACTTTACCTAATTTTTTGACAGAAATTATAATGTTTCTTCCGTAATACCACTTATAGAGCTAAATCGACTTTGTCCAATGTCCTTTATTCTAGCAATGGCCATTGCAAATATTATAAAATTGATATATTTAATAAGAAAAAGAAATGATAAGTATTTATTAATCAGTTTTTATTGTGATAATTGCATTGTAACTATAAATACAAGATGCCAAAAAATCTTAACCATTTTAAAAGAGCATAATGTATAATAAAAATAAAAAACACTTCTTAGGTTTTTTCAAATACTATGTGATAATAATAAGTTATGACATTTCAAAGTTTTCCGAGAAATTGTGAATAATATTGACACCCAACGATTAATAGATTGCATTGTCATTGCCATTGCCGTTGCAATAGCAACAACAATGGGCGAACTCAGCCCGTGAGTTTATTGACTTCGGTGGCCGAACGGTTAGCGTTGTGGGTGCTGGTGAGGAGGTTTCGGATTCGAGTACCGGTAAGATAGGGTAATTGCTATGTTTGTTGCTGACCCTTTATTTATTTGTAATAACGTGCCTTCGTAATTTTCGAAGCACTTTTTAAACGTCAAGGTCACATTTCAAAACGTGAAATGCACCAATAATATATGACTTTAGTTTGTCACGGCTTTGATCTTTATGGACATACATGTGGCGTTTAAATTCATTCATCTCACAATACAAATTCACATCGGGTGACAAATTATTGGGAAATGTTAACATATTAAAACAGCATTTTTATTTCCTTTTACTAATGTGATGTATTACACAATCTTATGCACAGGAAAAAATGGACATTTATTGATTTTATATCATCCTGTTATAATAAAATTGTAAGGAAGACAGGACTGTATTTTTAATATTTTAATTTAAAGGTCAGTGCTACCTGCTGCAGATACGCTGCTAAATTTCGAACGATGTCGTAAATTCGCCTTGTTGCGGTCATTTCATTTGATATTGCAGTTCGGTGCGAGTTCGGAAACAGACGCGTCCAATACGCAGTGAGAACTATTATAATTCGAGTTTCGCGCGGCTTAGGCCGCTGCGCATAAGTGGCAATGGGTTCCCAACAACTCATAGCCAATGAGCTTTTGGCGTTTATCCAACACGCCATCGATACCGTGGACGAAGTCAGCATCGTGCAGATCTGCAAATCCAACTTCAACGAGGATGAGGTTTGCAGCGGCAAGATGCTGTTGTTCGAGATCCTCGGCAAAGCTGAACAGATGCCGTCTCGCTGGAGGGATGGAGGCGTGAAGTGTCTTCAGGATGTTATCACACTCCTGAACGAGACTGACCCGGTCGAGGAGCTGCACAAACTGCCCCCCGTCACGTTCGACCACGTCGATGTTACCAGGCTGCTGAAGGATATCACTTGCCTGAAGTCAAGCCTGGCCGAGTTGCAGTGTAGATTGGAGGCTTCAGATAACACCATAAGAGAGCTGCGTGCCCAAATTGCGTTATTAAGCAACGCTACTTGGGTATGTAGGTCACCAAAAGTCTCCAATGTAAACACGCGTCGTTGGGCGCAAAATGCATCCATTAGTAGTGTCGAGTCGGCACAAATGGTTGCGTCACTGATCGCTGCTGCCCTGCTGTCCGCGCCTCCGTCCCGGCGGAAACATCACCCGTATACATGTCAGCCCCTGCACGTGCATACGCCGCTGTAGCCGCTTCTAGCAGCCGACCTGCCACTTCGAATCTCGAGAGGCGGCAATCGGTTAAGAGTAAAAGTAACCCCCGTGTGCGTGTCTCCGAAGTTGCAAAACAACACTCCGACGACGCTGCTGGACCTGTCGCTACTACATTACTCCACGAAATCCGAAGAGATAGTGGAGTACATCAGGCTAATAGCCAAATACACCCTGTGGGTCGAGCGGTTGGAGTCCCGCCACAACGTAAATTTTTATTCGTTTGTGGTGAGAGTGCCGACCGAACATCTGGCGGCCTTCATGAAGGAAGAGTTTTGATCGAAGAGTCGGCGATACCGGCGATTCCGCGGCTGGTTACCTGACACCAGATGGCTCCACAAGTCGCCGACAAGTGCAATACGTGTAGATTAGTTGATAGTTTAGATGGCTTCAGCATCTTCTTCGAATTCATCCGACCAGTGACTGCTTAACAGGCTTCTTTCTCATTTTATATTTCATTGTCATAATTATCTTATTGTTATAAGTCCCATAATATATTCGAAACTACGTTTTTGCGCTTTATGTAATCGGAATAATGTCTAATTTATTATTTGATAGCGCCGAGCAGTCAATATTTAATCAATTTAAATACAATTGGTGCTGGTAACAGCCACTTTAGTTTGGTTTATAGGCTAATGGTTATAGTCAACAACAACAATAACATTATAACAGTAACAGATTTGTTTTTATTGCGTTAATGTCTATATTCGCGATTTTTCGTGTTTTTGTTATTATGTAAAAACTGTAAAAAAAGCTTTTAATTTATTCTTACACGTAATAATCAGGGTTAGTAAGAAAGTAGTTTGAATAATAACAGGTTATGTAATATTCATTCACTTTCATTTTCATGTTGTATGCAAAACTACCTAATGACAGAACAACAGGATAACTGGTAACATTTTATGTGTTATTATAATTCATTTATCATTCATACATCATTGATAAATAATGTAGAAGTATAATTCATTGACGAATATGCTTAATTGTCTCTTTCGTGTCAGGTTTTCCCTCTTCACTGATTTCTGAGTAATCAAATAGTTAGAAAGCAGTTAGTCAAGTACTAAGAAATACAATCGATCATGCCCAGTGCGTGGCGAAGAGCATGGCACATACCATTGCAATCAATTTTTAAATATGACCCCGATAATGCAGCAAACAACTATCAAAAAATTTAATTTTTCCGAAAACTGCCTTTTCGCTCACAGTGGGAAGGCATGTATTTCCGGTAAAAACGTCGTGAGTGTAACGGAAGCAACAATACAATTTTACGCGAGGCATATAAAAAGTCAAGCAATTCTATACCCAGTAGCAGTATGATGCAACAACAGGCATCTAATTCCGAGCAACCACTCGCACGACGCCTTAGCAACCATTCGCACGTTTCACGAACACGTGACGTGTCTGGAATTTTATTAACCACAGCAAGGATCAGCGTACAAGCGAGTGACTCAATGAGAGCCCTCATAGACCAGAGGTCACAACTCTCATTGATATCAGAAAAAGCAGCACAATTATTATCAATAACGAGGCAAAAGTGTAAGAGTGTCTTTTCCGGAGTCGGAAGAAAAGAAAGCAACTGCAAGGGCCAAATAAGTATCACCTGCAAGTCAACAGACGGCAGCTACAATGTCAGCACAGATGTCCTTACCATGAAGCAGCTTATCAGAAGCTTACCAAATTACTCTTTCCAAAAACCATCCTGGGAGTACTTGGAACACATCACGCTAGCAGATCCTCATTTTAATGTCAATCGTCCTATAGACATAAAATAATATAATAAAATCACCTTAGAAGGCATCTGCAGATCAAATCAAGCTACACCAATTGCGCAACAAACACGTTTGGGGTGTATATTGAGCGGTAATGTAGTCACTACAATGCAATATCGTACTCAACAACATAGAACAAACTGAAAAATTCTGGGAAGTCGAAGATATATAGAAGAGACAACCCTATCAACAAAAGATCAACAAAGTTTAAAATTTTACCAAGAAACCACTATGAGACAAGATGACGGCAAATATGAAGTGAGGTTACCAATGAAACTAAACTTTGAAGAAGAATTAAAAACACTCAAAATCAAAAGCAATAGCAAAATTTTTACAATTGGAAAGAAAGTTCGAGAAACATGAAAAATATCAAGAGAATATAAGCAATTCATAAACGAATACTTAGAGTTCGATATATGAAACCGTCCATTATTGGAAACAAGACACTTGAATGTTATTTGCCTCATCATTGTGTGTAACGGGAAGTGTCAACGACTACAGCTTTACGCGTGGTTGTTAACGCAAAAAGTTTGACTTCATCAGGAAAAAGTCTTAACGATCTCATATCTAGGGGCCCAAATTTACAACAAGATTTCCAGTCACTGATTTTTAAATGGAGGCAATACAAAATAGCATTTACCGCTGACATCGAAAAAATGTTTCGACAAATTTGAGTCCACAACGATGACCAAAAACTACAGCAAATCATTGGGCGCAATACTAAGACGGAACCGCTCCGTGAATATTAGCAAGCAACGGTCACTTATGGCACTAAGCCCCTTTTCTGGCCATGATGACCTTAAAATAACTCGCTAAAGACGAGACAGATCATTATCAATCAAGCGAAGCAATAACAGTATTAGAAGAGTCGTTTTACATGACCGATCCGTGAAGCAAAACAACTATAGTAAGATCTTATTAAATTGCTTAAATCAGAAAGCTTCCACTTAAGAAAATGGTCCTCAAATCATTCATGCAAGGTGACACGATTAATCAAGAAAATCAAAACACTAATTTTGAATTCAAGCAAATGGAGTCAACGAAGACCTCGGGTCTCCGCTAGAACCCTAAACAAGATAATTTCACCTTTGAATCAAAAATTGATCAAGAAAATAAAAAAATGTCAAACACTACAAAAAACACACAAACACACAAAAAACAGACAAAATATTTCGAAAATATTCGTTCCTCTCGGCTGACTTATACCAACAACATCAAAACTCAAATTATTATTTCAAGAAGTCTGGAAAATAACATTACAATGGGATGATGAACTTCCACAACATATTCAAGCCGAGTGGATCAAGATAAGAGCAGATATCACAAACATAAACAATATCAAAGTTTCGCGGTGGCTCGGCACGAGTGTAACTACTAGTGTCGAGTTACACGG